AATTAGAAATATCATAGCAAACACTTTGAAAACTTAAAGTGAAGAAATTCTTTTAAAATATATGATTTACTAATTTTGAATTAATCATTCTACATCTACCACAAAATGGTATTAGTAATTTAAAATATTCCCACAAAGAAAAGGTAATTTTATAGATAAATTCTATCAAGATTTCAAAGAACAGATTTTTTTAATCTACAGATTAATCTCCCAGAGAATAAAATAGGACTAATTTTCTATATTTAGTTGGGCTAGTGTAACATCTGCTGGATCATCAAAAAACAAGAGAGTTCCAGAAAAACATCTCTTTCTGCTTTATTGACTATGCCAAAGCCTTTGACTGTGTGGATCACAATAAGCTGTGGAAAATTCTGAAAGATATGGGAGTACCAGACCACCTGGCCCACCTCTTGAGAAACCTGTATGCAGGTCAGGAAGTAACAGTTAGAACTGGACATGGACCAACAGACTGGTTCCAAATAGGAAAAGGAGTATGTCAAGGCTGTATATTGTCACCCTGCTTATTTAACTTATATGCAGAGTACATCATGAGAAACGCTGGGCTGGAAGAAGCACAAGCTGGAATCAAGATTGCTGGGAGAAATATCAATAACCTCAGACCTCATAACCACCGTTATGGCAGAAAGTGTAGAGGAACTAAAAAACCTCTTGATGAAAGTGGAAGAGGAGAATGAAAAAGTTGGCTTAAGGCTCAACGTTCAGAAAACTAAGTTCATGGCATCTGGTCCCATCACTTCATGGGAAATCGATGGGGAAACAGTGGAAGCAGTGTCAGACTTTATTTTTTTGGACTCCAAAATCACTGCAGATGGTGATTGCAGCCATGAAATTAAAAGACGCTTACTCCTTGGAAGGAAAGTTATGACCAACCTAGACAGCATATTAAAAAGCAGAGACATAACTTTGTCAACAAAGGTCCGTCTAGTCAAGGCTATGGTTTTTCCAATAGTCACATATGGATGTGAGAGTTGGACTGTGAAGAAAGCTGAGTGCCGAAGAGTTGATGCTTTTGAACTGCGGTGTTGGAGAAGACTCTTGAGAGTCCCTTGGACTGCAAGGAGATCCAACCAGTCCATCCTAAAGGAGATCAGTCCTAGGTGTTCATTGGAAGGACTGATGCTGAAGCTGAAACTCCAGTACTTTGGCCACCTCATGCGAAGAGTTGACTCATTGGAAAAGACCCTGATGCTGGGAGGGATTGGGGGCAGGAGGAGAAGGGGGCGACAGAGGATGAGATGGCTGAATGGCATCACCGACTCAATGAACATGAGTTTGAGTAAACTCCGGGAGTTGGTGATGGACAGGGAGGCCTGGCGTGCTGCGATTCATGGGGTCGCAAAGAGTTGGACGCGACTGAGTGACTGAAGTGAACTGAACTGAACTGAACTTTGATTTTAAGCCAAAAGATTAGTACAAGGAAGGAAACAGGCCAGAATTAACTAAAAATAAAAATTGAAAATAGTTTATGAAATATCACTGAATTTACAAGATTTTCGTCAATCTGATAGGATGTAAATTCAGCAGATACCACTTTTAATGGAGAAATATTAGAAAAATTCTATTTAAAATCAGAATTAGAAAGAAATGTGAAAATTCTTTTTCTTTCCAGTATTGAATTTACTAGCATAAAAAGGCAAGAAAAAGAAAGAAAGGCTTTAGGACTGGAAAGAAAGATTGTCTCCATAGGAAAATACTAACTAAACCATTAAAAATAAAGTGAAACGTGAAGTTGCTCAGTCGTGTCTGACTCTTTGCGACCCCATGGATTGTAGCCTACCAGGTTCCACCATCCATGGGATTTTCCAGGCAAGAATACTGGCATTGGTTGCCATTAAAAAATAAGGGGAGAGGGATATCCCAAGTGGCTCAGTGGTAAAGAATCTGCCCACCCATGCAGATGTGTGTTGGACCCATGGATTGGGAATATTCCCTGGAGGAGGAAATGGCAACCTACTCCAGTATTCTTGCTGGAAAAACCCCATGGACAGAGCAGCCTGGTGGGCTACAGTCCATGTGGTCACAGAGTCAGACATGACTTAGCCACTGAGCATGTACGCATAGTTAGTGCACTACTACTACAAGGAAAAAAGAGACTTTAACAAGTTGGCTGATTAACATTATTTTACAATAAAACTGAATTTCTGTTTATGAACAATTAGGTTAGAAAACATCATTTTAACAGTATTTCTAAAATCAATAGAAATGATAAGATACAAAGGATAAATCCAACAAATAATGAAAATTTGAGTGACCGAAATTAAAAAATTTCAGATAGATCCTAAAGAAAACTTGAAGGAAGAGAATGCCATATTCATGGCTTATAAAACAATGCTGTAAAATGATGGTTGTTGTTTTGATTTAATGTATTTATCAAGTCAAAATCCCAATAGAATGTTTTTTGTGCAGTTTGATAACCTGACTCTGAAGTTTAAATGGAAGAGCAAAGAGTGAAGGAGAAAGATCAAAGATATGAACGATTAGGTGAATTATTTGCATTTCAATATGTAACATTGTAATAACAAAGACAGTTATTGGTTTATAGATAATCAGCTTGTACAAGGAAAACAAGTAGAGCACCAAACAAGTCCTGGCAGATAGAATGCATTTATTTATAACAAAGAAGTAACATTGCAGATCATTGTGGAAAGAGCATGATTAAATAAACAATGCTGAGATACATGTTATCCATATTGAAAAAGTGAATTTGCATCCATATCTCCTGTCATTCACAAACTCATTTCAAGATGGACAAGGATATAAATGCACAAAGCAACATTTTTAATCTTTCATAAGGAAATAAGAGTATCTCTGTACTTGTATATAAGCTTAGGAAATTTCTTAAAGGAGACCCTGAAAACAGTTTTAAAAGAAAAGATTGATATATTCGGTGCCATTAAACTTAAGTACTTAAATTCATCAAAATATGAAAAGATAAGGTTCGCATAGAGAGAACATAACTGCAATATATTTAACCTCTATCGGACTAATATCAAAACAAATCAAGACATCCTTCAGGAAAGTAATCAAGAGTTGAAAGGAAGGAGCATTTATAAGCCACATGTATGCCCTACCTCCTACTCCAACCCCTACCATCTCACACACACAGGAAAGCACATAAAGGCTAATAGAATGAGCTTGACCTTTTGTTGGTGTCATTCTTATCTTACATTAGAGGCCGCTCTGACCCTTGACCAAGACAAAAATCATGTAATCTTTATGCTCTATGCTGAACCAGTAGCATTAAAATAGTCACTGCTTTTTCCTTAATCATGTACAAGGTGAAATCTTATTACCAGCTGAGCAATTCTTAACTCTCTCCTCCATAGCCTCATCTGTGTTCTTTTTCCTTTCTTATAAGTTTATTTACAATGTGTGTCCTAATTTTATAGATCCTTTTGTGATCATTCTGTTGAGATGTTTTCAGATACCTATGGTTTCCATATTAACCAGTGCCATAAGAACCTCTGGAGAAGGACATGGCAACCCATTCCAGTGTTCTTGCCTGGGAAGTCCCATGGAAAGAGGAGCCTGGTAGGCTACAGTACATGGGGTCGCGAAAGAGTCGGACATGACTTAGCGACAAAGCAACAATAAGAGCCTCAGATTCATCTGGGTCTAAAACCTTATGACATATGGATTTGGAAGGAAAATAGTGGTGAATTAATTCAGTAGGACCACATGACCAAAAAAGATAGGCATCTTCTACCTAACCATTAAAAGGAGAAAAACAAGAACTGCAGTTCCTGTCAAAAAAAAAAAGACTCTTCTTTTCCCAAGAGGGCAGGGATTACAACAAACAAGCAAAATATAGAGAGAGTGTATTTCTAGGGGGCGGTTTTAGATGTTGGAAGACATTCTTTGAAAGCAATTGTGTCAGTGACTGAACATTTTAATTATTGCTCTTTTACACAACATGAGCTTTCAGTGTTTTATAAACCTTACAGGAAAGCATTTATTTTCTGATAAGAGTTTCATCTATGTAATGAGTAATGTGTAAGTAGACAGACAAAACAAGTCCTCTTGAAATAGAAACACTGTCTTCATTTATCATTAAATATTTTCTGATACCAAGGAAGGAAGAAGTGCTTTAGTAAAAAGATTCTCTTATGTATGGTGTACCTATTCCTCAGACACATGTAGGAGGAAAGATTACAAAATTATTATGTGTTTATTGGTATATGTAATATATGTCATAGTTAAGTGTGAGGGCAGTCTGCTTTAGCATTTAGCCAATCAAGCTCTACTTAATTCAGTTTAATGTGATTTTTGCCATAGCATGATTAACTTTTAAAGTTTTGTTAGAGATTTGTAAGGAAAACACAAGACTATTGATTTATGATAATTATTATTATTCTGTCTTAGGTTGTTTCTTAGAAAATATAACACAGTTCACAATGCATAAGTTAGTTTGTAGATGATTTATTTCTCATATCTTTCTTAAAGCAACAGAGAACTAAAGTAATAGTAAGGAAGGATGTTTAAGATGTCTTAAGTTATTATTTCTCTCCATAAATGTAAAAAATAAAGAATTGTGTATATTTAATTCATTAGTCATAAATATTAGAAAAAGACACATAAATGTCTTTGAATATAACATTGTTTGTATAATTTGAAATTTACCTAGATTTAAGTGCATTTGTCTAAAAGCATCTAAAACTGATTGAGCTATTTTTGACTTGGCTTTTTTTCCATAGATTTTATCAATTAGCATCAAATCACTAACATATTATTTACTGTTTAATAGTATTTCAAGCTTTAATCCTTTTAGGAACTTTATTTTACACATTTAAAAATAATACCCTCGCATAATGAAATACACGTCAAAATGAATGTTTGTGTGTTTATGATGATTTTTCTTCTTGTTTTTTATTCTCAAGTGTTCCCCTCAAAATCCTTTCATTTGCTTTTTAGGTTGGTGAGGATTTTTCTTTTCCTTAAATAATCAGCAATTTTAATTACTGCAATTTTTTGCTTCATAGGATCAAAGAGAATAAGTGATAGTGAGGTCTCTGATTATGACTGTGATGATGGAATTGGTGTAGTATCAGGTAAGAATTTTATAGAAATAAGAAGGAAGTATAATAATTATTTACCAGTGAACATGTAAATATATAGATAAATATAATGAGTTACAAAGGACTACCCTGTTTATCCCCCACCACCAAAACAGCCTTATGGCAGTTTAAACTGAATGATTCCAGTTGCTGGAATGCCTATATGGATTGTTAGATTGACTATTCTTGCTGAAAGATGTCTCATAAGTACTTACCAATATTCTATTTTTAAATTACTAAATAATGAGGATTTCATTATAAGTTTGAGAAGTTACTGTATAACTAACACTTCTTTATATTTCACTCACAGTGTGGAAAAAATCTTTTTACTATCACAAACAGCCACATGTATCAAATATTTGAATGCACTTTTAAAAAAGTTTGTTCATTGTTATTACATTAAGTATCAGGTACAGCTGCATTTTGAAATTGTGATATTGTAGTTTTAAAATACTGCCTCACTTATAGCTAGAAATTTGTCTGATGATTTAATAATTTAGCTAAATAGCTATTTTTAATACATTTTTGAAATGTTTTTACATATACTCTATTATAAAATAGATTCTCTTCTGCTTGAAGTTTAATTAGCTTAGCAAATTTCATAAGCATATCCGATTTTATCATGAACAAAAATTTATGTTCTGTTGTACGTAAATGTGCTACAGTGGCATCCATGACTGGTAATTTTTGTTGGACAAATTTTGATAGAGTGTGAGTCAGTTTGCTTGCTATCAGTTTACTACATTTAAAAAAATCAATACTATCCTTTTAGCCTTTATTTTTTGCACTAAGGTGAATAATATATTAATTCACTAAGACTGCAAAAATATTTTTCATGTTTTATCATTTTTCAATTAAATCTTAATAAAGTCATATTTCTCATCATAACTTGCTTGGAGATTGTTAGCATTTTCCCCTACCTGTATTCTGTTATTTTATTAATTGACTTTTCAACTTCTTCTCTTTATTAAATATCTAGCCCCATCAGATTTTTTCACCCAAAATATTCTTCTTCAGGTCATTAAAGCTCTTTGTCTTGATGTCATTTGGGGCATATCTCAGTTCTTTTATTTTATACTTTCACGATGACAAAATAATGATCATGTTATTTTTTTCCATTTTATTAAAGAATGTATCTTTTGAAAAAAAATTTTTCAGGAATCATTCATTATTTGGGTAATCTTTGCTATTGCAGAATATTATTTCTCAAGCCTACACAATACAAAGTGTTTATCCTGGGCTCATTATTGTTTAACCACCATAAAACATCATTGTTTCTCAGTAGTATTAATTTTTTTGCTATATGATGTTTCACTCAATAATCCATTGAAGAAAAATATACTGCTGTATAATATCCTCTGTGTTGCTATTTTGAAATCAAGTGTAATTTTTGAGATAACTTCAAATACTTGGAATTAAAGTTTAAATATTTACTTCAAATGATATTCAGAATGCTTTCTAATATTGTTTATTTCTTAAAGAATTATCTATATAGACTATAGACATTGGGCTTCCCAGGTTGCTCAGTGGGTAAAGAACCAACTTGCCAATGCAGGAGACACAGGAGACTCAGGTTTGATCCCTGGTTTGGGAAGATCACCTGGAGGAAGGCATGGCAACCCACTCCAGTATTCTTGCCTGAAAGTAAAAGTTAGTCACACAGTCATGTCCGACTCTTTGCAGTCCCATGGACTATAGCCTGCCTGGCTCCTCTGTCCATGGAATTCTCCAGACAAGAATACTGGAGTGGGTTGCCATTTCCTTCTCCAGGGTATCTTCCCGAACCAGGGATCGAACCTGGGTCTCCTACATTACAGGCAGATTCTTTATCAACTGAGCCAACTTTACCATTCTTGCCTGGAAAATCCCATAGACAGAGGAGCCTGGCAGGCTACAGTACGTGGGGTTGCAAAGAGTTGGGCACAACTTAAGCAACTGAACATGCATTCACTATAGAAAGTAGGAACTTTTTGTCAGGTTAATTATTCTAAATATTTATAGTTGTTGAGAACTATTTGAAGCTCTTTTGGTCAATGAAGAGATGAAAATGTCTTTAGAATAAGCTTAATTCTTTTATTGAAGATTACTAGCTGTGTAAAAAAGTGAACATAGTAGCTGTCTAAATATTTGAATATTTGTCATTCCTTCTCAGTTTAAGTGTTTATAAAATATTATTTTATGTTAGCATTGTGCTTTATTCATTATGCTTTACATTTACTATATTTAAAGCCTTTCACTAACATTTTATGTTTTTCAGTAAATTACAAAATACTAAAAATCTTAGTGTGTGGGTAACTCTAATCTTAATATTTCCACCTTTAGATTATCGACACAATGGTCGAGATCTTCAAAGCTCAACATTGTCAGTGCCAGAACAAGTAATGTCATCAAGCCACTGTTCACCATCAGGGTCTCCGCACCGAGTAGATGTTATAGGGAGGACTAGGTCTTGGTCACCCAGTGTCCCGCCTCCACAGAGGTAAGACAGCATAACCTTCTAGGATGATATTATAAGCCTGTTTATCTTAAAATATTATTAGAAACTTTAAAAAATGGGTTCTTATAGAAAAGTTATTTAGGGAAAAACATATGTGCTAGTCAGTAATCTATATAATGAGTAATATGAAATATGGGCTACTTTGTAATTTTGGATGACCCAAATATGATTTTATTATAAGCTCATAGTCATAAAGAAGATGCAAATTCCAGTCTCATATATATATTGAGCAGATCTAGTTAGACTCAATTAATTGTACTCATGAATGATATTGACATTTTAAGAAATAAGAAAGAATAAACATTTGTTGGAGCAATACAGTTAAGAACAATCATGAGAAGACTAAAAGGAAATGCATAAGCAGTGGGAAGAATTGCTTGGAAATCTGCAATTCCAGGTCTTACATTTAGAGGAAAACTCAGATCAATCCAAGTAAGTTAGAAATGCTTATTGGAGTAAGAACCATGGAAATAATATTTCCGAATCAATCCAGTTAAATTATAGAAAGGCTTACTGAAGTAAGAACCAAGGAAATAATGTTTCCGAACAGGAAATATGTGCATAATTTCACATTTTATATATTTGTAATGTTTAAGGCAATTTGAACCCTTAGAACACTTATTTTAAATGAGTTATTGAGTTAGTTTTAGACATTTAGACTTAGAATTTTAGGTTGTCATCTTAATTTTATACATTGCATTAGACTGTCTAAGAGAACAAAATTTATTATATTTATAAATTTAACTTATTTAATTATGATATTAAGTACTTAAATGTTTATTTAGACAATTAATTAAAGAGAAAATATATTAAATTTATAAACATAGTTTAAAGCATTTTAAGATTTAGGTAAGTTTGTAAATGGGACTAAAATTATTAAAAGTATTCTGAAAAGTAACTGTTAAAATGTGGTAGACCTATCAGAATAATAAGACTTGTAATCTGAAATTTAAAGTGCAAGAGAAAATAAGATTTTAAATTTGTAGTTTTAGTAAATTAAGCCCTCCCTCATAAAAAAAAAAAAGAATTCTTGACTTATCAAAAAGTGAATATTTGAACACACCAGTAGAAAATAAGCATGGATTTTAAATTAGATTGACCTGCACTTAACAGAAAGCCTATAGTAGCAGGAGCTTGTGTAAAAGGTTTATTCCATCATGAGAAACAATGTGCTTAGTCACTCAGTCATGTCCAACTCTTGGGACCCCATAGACTGTAGTCTGCCAGGCTCCTCTGTCCATGGGGATTCTCTAGGCAAGAATACTGGAGTGGGTTGCCATTCCCTCCTCCAGGGGATCTTCCCAACCCAGGAGTCGAACCCAGGTCTCCTGCATTGCAGGCAGACTCTTTACTGACTGAACTATGAGGGAAGCCCGTAAGATTAGTAAACAACCCAGACCAAGAATGGTAGCTTAAAAAAATAGTCATTGATTGGTTATAAAAACATCAGTTTAGATTAAAAAAATGAACAATTATTATCCCTAAAGTAAGATGACCAATAAGCCATCTATAAGCAACATGGTCTAAAGCAGCATGCTGAACTCATTTTCTTCACACAAATCTATACTTCCTCCTATATTTCATATTTTATTATCACTACTATACACCTGGGCTGCTGCTGCTGCTGCTAAGTCGCTTCAGTCATGTCCGACTCTGTGCGACCCCATAGATGGCAGCCCACCAGGCTCCTCCATCCACGGGATTTTCCAGGCAAGGGTACTGGAGTGAGTTGCCATTGCCTTCTCTGATACACCTGGGAGCCAACCATTAATAGTTTTCATAATTCTTGTCTTCATTCCCATTGACATTCCTTAATTTTATGTCGCACCTCTGATATGGCTTCCTGTGTGGCACCAGTGGGTACCTGCCTACCAGCGTGGGAGACAGGAGAGGTAAGAGATCCGGCTTCCATCCCTGGCTCTGAAAGATCCTCTCGAGGAAGAAATGGCAACCCATTCCAGTATTTTTGCTTGGAAAATCCCATGGACAGAGGAACCTGGAGGGCTATAGTCCATGGGGTCACAAAGAGCTGGAAAGGACTGAAGCCATTTAGCAGGCACACACTTCTGTTACAGCAGCAATCTCCTAATTTTATTGTCAATCTCCAGGTGAAATTTATACATTTAATCAGAAGTGCAATTAGTTAAAACAAAGCAAAAATCTTGAGGTTGACATTGCAGTGATCTTTTGTCTTTTTCTGCTGTCTTTATTAAAAAAACTTTATTTTTTAGTATAATATATGATTATGGTTTATTAAGATTTTTAATGGATCTTGCTATTTCAGTCGAAATGTGGAACAGGGACTTCGAGGGACACGCTCTGCTACAGGACATTATAATACAATTAGCCGAATGGATAGACATCGTGTCGTGGATGACCATTATTCTCCAGATAGAGACAGGTAAATTTAATCAAATACTGTGAGACCATATTATAATTGCTGCCTACAGGAAGAAAGATTACCATAAAATGTTTTCATCCTGAACTTGGGTATTTCTTAGTTTTTGAAACCATGTGCTTCGCTTACAATATCTACATTCTTATGACTGTCACATCATTTAAAAAAATTAAAGAGACAAAAAACAACCTTTTGTTTGCTAAGAAAAACAATTCATTTTGCTCTTGCAGTTTTGGTACTTTGTTAAATCAAGCCAGTTAAGTTAGTGAACTTGCACATGAAATTATAATGATAATCATAAGGAAAACAGGATGTTTTATTATTTTTACTTTATCATAACCAATTATTATATTGAAAAATACTTTCATGAAACAGTAGATTTAAAGTCTTTTACCTTCATCTGGTAAATCAATATGACTTTAGTCATGTTGAGACAAGTCTGGTTTGTTTAAACAGACAGAAAAACTGATTCATGAAGAGGTTTTTCCTCATGGCTTTCAGTAAACCTTTTAAACAGCTTAAAGAATTATACTTCTTGACTGCTGTGCTTGGAAGACTTCTCTATTAAACGTGATATACTTAGGCATGTTTCAGTACGTATGTTAATTACTGCTAATTTTTTTAACAACCTAATTGATTAATCCTCTAGTATATGGTTTGATTATATATGAAATGAAAAATGCTATGGTATTTCCCAAAAACTACCAAGTGGGTTTAAGATAAGGATTAGAATAGAAAGCTTAATTTACTGTTCAGAGAATATTCTGATGAAATAACAAGGGAACTCACAAGTCTCTTTATATGCATCCTAAACTAATTTTAGTAAAAACACTGGGCGGAAGGGTGGAGATTCAATCAATTGATATGAAATATTTTTGTCAATACTTATACATTTAATTGTTTTGTCTAAATCTAGTCTAAATCTAACTGAGTTCATGCTTATAGCATTGAGTTGGAGTACACTTTTCCAAAAGAAATATAGGGAGTATCTTAGTCTTCAATAGTGTCAGTCAACTATTGGCTTTTGTGTCTGAGATCTAAGAAGAAATAGGAAGTGAATAAATTAATATCTTAGTGTCAAATGAAAGTTAGTGTAGTGTTTTATTTATTTTTAATTTATTTGACTTTTTCATAGGGGTTTGTGTCTTTAAAGTAATTATAGGTATGTTACCTACAGATATGGATACTTATCAAGTACAATAATAGTGAAAGGTAACTATATTAGAATGATTAGGAATGCATCATATTAGGGTGGATGAATGAGTTTTTCATTACCTAGTAGAATTTTTTTAAATTGATAATTTCTTGAAATTTTTCAGGTAGTGACTCATAAACTCCTTGTTCATTGAAGGCGTGTTAAGCAGATGATGAGAGAGGAAAGTCTGAAATGACTTTAAATCCTCCAAGTTTATGTAAAATGAGCTAGATATGTTCTCTGAAGGCAATATGGTCTGGTCTAAATCTTGCAGGGAAGAACAGAATAAAATTGACCTCCAGAATTATAAACAAAAATAGTCACTGTCATGACAAGCACATAATATTTATTGATATTTTGAGACAAAGAGCCCTAAGATTAATGACCTAAAAAGTGCTATTCAATCCCTGGTAATAGTTAATATTTGAATTAGTCTTAATTTGAAATGTCATATTTTTTGTTTACTTTATAACATTATGAATCTTTTAATTTAGCAAAAAAATTCAAGTAATTCAGAGATTTTGTGGGGAAATTGATCCACATGATTTCATTACTGTTTTAGTCTTGTACATCATCAAATCATAATTGCTCTTCATTGTGAGCTGTTTTAAATCCTTTTAGAAATAAATAAAATAGAATTTCATTTAAATAGGCCTATAAAACCATTTCTATATTAATTTTGAGTATTTTTGCAATCATTATTCATTACATGAGGAATAAAAAATAAAAAGCACAGTATTATCCATGTAAATAGTCTATCACATTATTAAACAATGGGTTCTTAATTTCTGTTTTATCCTAATATTCTAAAAGATTTTAAATAATAGAATCCATATGAAGGCATGAAGGCACTGTTATTTTTATGTACTATTTATAATAGATGGTAAGAATACTCTAATCCTCCTATAGTGAATTTTCATGAACTGTATTTTATAGTCGATAAATAATACTGTTGATTTAAAAACCTAAAAAAGAATTTCCTTTGAGATGATAAATAAAATTTAGTTATTTTAATCATGCTTGTCAGTAAGAGTTGACACACTGGACTAGAATATTTCATGAAATGTATTCTTTTTCATGGGATTTGGAACCAAATGGCAATTGGGCTTGAATTTAGATTTTTTAACAACTGATCGCTGTGTATCTTTGGTTTGATTTCCTTATCTATAAAATTAGAATATTAATACCAACTTTATAGAGTTGTTGGGTAGATTAAGTGGAACAGTGCCACCAATTTAATGGTATGTACTCAAAAAAAGTACCTATTAACATTTTAAAAGGATCTTTTAGCTTATAAATAATTTACATTTTAATGTGCTCATCAATTAAGCAGAGAAAAGAGAAGTCAGTCAATTCAGTTGTTTTTTTTGAAGTGGCTTGTAGAGGATGTAGGATATGTGTTGGACCTTGAAAAATAAGCATGTTTATTTAGGCAACAACAAAAGATACAGAGGCAGAATATACATATACTTTCAGAAAGACCCAGTAAGAAGGATGAAGGACTAGGGGACATACTAGAAAATTGTGAATAAAGATAATAGCTTAAAAAAAATGATAATGGCTTTTATATCAGTCATGTTGAGTGATAAATGATACAACCCCATGGACTGTGGCTTGCCAGGCTCCTCTGTCCATGAGATTCTCCAGGCTAGAATGTGGTGTTTGTAGCCATTCCCTTCTCCATGGGATATTCCTGACCCAAGGATCGAACCCCAGTCTCCCACATTGTGGGTGGATTCTTTATTCTCTGAGCCACCAGGGAAACCCCAATAAATGATACTGTATGACATTAATTTATAATACCAGGTTAGGCTTCCCAGGTGGTGCTAGTAGTAGAGAACCCGCCTGCCAATGCAGGAGACATAAGAGACATGTTCGATCCCTGAATTAGGAAGACCCCTCCTGAAGGAGGATATGGCAACCCAGTCCAGTATTCTTGCCTGGAGAACCCTATGGACAGCGGAGCCTGGTGGGCTACAGTCCCTAGCATCACAGAGTCAGACACGACTGAAGCAACTTAAGCATGCACACACACACACTTGTTTAAACTTCAGTGGTGTAAGAAAGAGAGATCCTTTTCTTATAGATAATATAAGAAGAATTATAGATAGAATTTTGATTGGATCTTTATTTCTCTGCACACCTTATTTTATTAGTACTAGTCATATTCCTTTTCTCTTTTGAAAAGAAAGAAGGTTTATTACAAGTAGTTCAGAAACTTCTATACAGCGATATTAAATAAAAATGATTAATGTAATAGCCATCTTCTCTTCATTCCTCCTACCTTTTTGTATCATTATTTCTCTGGTAAATCCTGGTAACTACTACAACTAGGAACATCATTTTCTGGAGCAAACTATGTGACTTTAGTACTAGAAATCATTTCAAGAGCTTATTTTTTATAGGAGTTAATTTACTACTAGAATAAGTATAGAGTACTAGATGCTATTTCTATAATATGTCATAGATATTTTATAGTACACATTTTTTATGTCTATCGTAGAGACTGAAATATATTGGTTGCATTTAATTCCATAGAGTATACTTTCAGCATAGTAAGGAAGAAAATAATACTAGCAGAAGATATATTACTGCATAAACATTTTTCTTCTCATCATTCAATTAATGCATTTATATTTGATAATATTTTATAGAATAGGGCATATTTGCCCTATTATATGAATTTCTGAAATGCTTCAAACACATGCTGTTTCTCTATTCTTTAACAGGCTGTCAGCTACCAGAAATTACCAAACCATTTCAGTTACCAGCTATGAGAGAAATACATCTCTGAAAGTTTGAAAACATAGAGAAAGTAAATGAAAAAGAAAAGTCATCCTATAAATTAATGCAACTTTTTATTTATTATATTTCAGGATTATATTTTTACTTTTTAAATCATGGTGTATTTTAGGAACTATAAAGTATCAAAACAGTAACAATGTCAAAGACAGAGTGGAAAGTTTGGTATTAAATTCAGATTGTTGGCAATTTAGCTTTCAAAATCTGCAGATTACTTAAGAGTGAGATTTTTATCTCCTCTTTTTTACAGTCCTTTTTGTGTATCTGGTAGTTCCTAAAAGGGAACATGGGTTGGTATACTGTATTGGTGTTTTTCTTTCTGGATAGTTGCAAAGCATCGGGCATGACTGAGCGACCGAACTGAACTGAACTGAACTGAAAAGGGAACATTCAGGCTAATGAAATACAGTGGAAGGATAATTCATTATAAATATAATTTTGTTTTATCTTCAAAAATTAAATTTCTTAGTAAGAATCTAAGTGTGTCAGGAAATTAGATCAGTAATCTTTTTTAGTTCTTTGAATAGTCAAATGTTTTATCAGGATTTGAGAATCTGTAAGTTGCTTTTTTAATCTTTTTTAAAAATTTAGTCACATTTTATGACAGTGGATTAATTTCCAAAATATACAAGCAGCTCATACAACTTAATACCAGAAAAACAAACAACCCAATCAAAAAGTGGGCAAAAGACCTAAACAGACATTTCTCCAAAGATGACAAACAGATAGCTAGTAAATACAAAAGATGCTCAACATTGCTCATTACTAGAGAAATGCAAATCAAAACTACAATGAGAGTTCACCTCACACCAGTCAGAATGGCCATCATCAAAAAAATCTACAAACAATAAATGCTGGAGAGAGTGTGGAGAAAAGGGAACATTCTTGCACTGTTGAGGGGTAATGTAAATTGATGCAGCCACTATGGAAGACAGTATGGAGATTCCTTAAAAAACAAGGAATAAAACCAATGCAATTGCTTCATTGACCCAGCAATCCCACTCCT